ATAAGGCAAACCTATCATGGGATTTTCTGGGCTGAGAGTGTGTGACTCACAATTTAACACAAATGTCCAATGTAATATTGGACTGGTGCCTGCATTTGTTTTCAAATACTTCTCAGTTTAGAGAGGATTTATGGAGGTACAGTTAACACGTTCAAAATCTTTGGCAGAATTGTTAGTTAGTTTCCACATTCTAGATTTGGCAGTGGGACAATAAGTTTCCCATAAAAGAATGCTGTTCTAAAGAGGAACTTGGCATTCCCTGAGATGTACTACCCTTTCTCATACACTGCATACAGCAACCATGGCCACATTTGTCTTTTAATTGCCAAGTGTTTTTCCTTCTTTGGAAATGGAAGGCATGGAAGGAAGAGCAGAGAAGCAGGATTCTAGTCAGTGTACCAGTGCGGTGTAGTGGTTTGAGCACTGGACTATGACTGTGGTGATCAGGGTTAAAATCCTTGCTCAACCATGGAAGCCCACTCTCTCAGTCAAATTCTCTCAGTCTCAGAGGAAGGCAAAAGCAAACCCCTTCTGAACAAATCTTACCAAGAAAAACCCATGATAGATTTGCCCTAGGGTCACCATAAGTTGGAAATGACTTGAAGGCACACACAGCAACCACTCTCATTATATTATATGGAGCATTGGTAAACATATCAGTTTCTATTTCTCCCACATTCATTTAGAAAAGAAATCTGAAATTCTTTCTACCCCATTTATGAAGAAACCTGTGATTTTTAGTAAGCTCCTATTGAAAAACCTACCAAACAAAACCAAAAACAAAACCCATCCCTTATATTATATTACAGCTTTACTTTTAATAATTTTAATATTTTAGCTTTATTTATTTTTTTTAAAAAATGTGAAACTGTATTCCTTTGTCATAAACACATTGTCAGTTATTGGTTCCTGACTGCTCCTTGATTAGGAAGATGTAGTATTTTAATTTAAAAGAAATTGCTTAGGACAGTTCTGTCAGACAAAATTAAGAGACAGGTTGTTTACCATGGACATCTCCATTCATGCAAAAGAAAACAAACTTCATAACACAATTCTTCCAGTAAGTTTAAAAAAAAAAAAAACTACTGAAGAGACAGCAAAGTTCAGTTTGGAACAGAGCTGAGTAGCAGTTTCTCAGAAGACATTTTGAGATGGCATATACTTCAGACAAATACTTTAAAACCTAGTTTGCTTTGCCACTCTGCCACACGATAAGCTTCTTCTGTGGAAACTTCAAATATATTTCCAATGTTTACACAGTTCTGCCTGTGTACTGCATCCAGGCTGTTCCAACTGTAAGACACTACATTCCTCCCTCCACATTCATGGCGGTTAGAGGAATGAGACCCCCGCGAATATAAAAAAAGTGTGCATAGCTCCTCCCCCTGACTCAGAAGCCAGTTAAAGGGAGGGGTGGGGGAAGAGGAGCAGGGGTGCATGTTCCTTTTTCCCATCCTCCCATCCCTTTAGTTGGCTCCCTGCCCCTTCTCCTCCCCAATCCTCTCCTTGGGCAGCCCAGGTAGAGGATTGGGGAAGAGAAGGAAAGAGGTGCCTTGGCCCCTCTGAGACCCTTCTCCTCCCCAGTCCTCTCCTTGGGCAACTCAGGGAGAGGATTGGGGAGGAGAACAGTCTTTAGGGGACCAAGGCATCTCCTACCTTCACCTCCCCAATCTCTTTCTTGGCCGCTCAAGGAGAAATCAGGCAAGGAAAGGGAAGAGAAATGCCTGCATTAGCGGCCTTGACCTCATGAATAATTGAAACCACGAGTATCAAGTCCACAAATGTGGAGAGCCTACTGTATTTTCAATAGTGGGAATGTCAACCCTGCTATGAGATGACATAAAAGCAGCACGTTTTGTCATTAGCCTAACTTCACAAGAATTGTCTTGGCATCCTATTTATAGAGCTAAGTTATTGCCTCCTTTTTGTGACCACTTGAAAGTACCATAAGGAAGATGTATGAATTCCCACTGAGCTCCCTAAAAAGAGTATACATTATCCCACTAGCTATTTTGAATTCTAGTCACATGTTTCTATTATGAGAATGCTTAATATTCCCTTCAGTGCTGGCCCTGAGAGCTTTCTGAAGCTCACCATTTCTTAAAAGGTCTATCAAAGCTAGCATGTTCACCTGTCTTCAGTAGATCTTTTAATATTCCCAGTCCACCATGCAATGAGTCAAAAGAGGTAGTTGTCAAGCAACATAACAATGTTAAGTTCAGGAGGAAGAGGGGCCAGCCTGCAAAAGATACCCTCCACTTACCATCTTAACTAAAGACAGAAACATTAAACTGCAGGCATATGACTAACATCTCCATTTTTTTCCTCCTGTTTGGTTTGTAACATCTTCCCTGATGAAGAAGCCATCAAAAGCTTACAACAAGTATATTGTGCATGTTGGTTGGCCAATAAAGGTATCACTGTTTGGTGGATTTTTGTTTGAAAGTGTCCAGTGTGTCAAGATAATATTGAGAACACTAATAGAATCAAGGAGGCATTTGATCATGTAACACATGTGTTTCATAGAATATAGACAGACAGACATCAAATGTCACAGTGTTCCACAAGAAGTCATGAGGAATTCTGCAACAGATCATGATTGAAAAATTAAATATTTTTGAATTGTTGATATAATAATTTTTATGCAGGGGTCCTTGAAACCTGAAGATTATTTCAAGAGTTATTCCATGGTAAGACTGTGCTCTAGAAGAGTTTCTTTCTGATGTTTCGCCAGCATCCGTGGCTGGCATCTTTCTCTGAAGATGCCAGCCACAGATGCTGGCGAAACGTCAGAAAGAAACTCTTCTAGAACATGGCCACACAGCCCGAAAAACCCACAAAAAACTGTGAATGCCAGCCATGAAAGCCTACGACTTGAGAAAGATAGATTTAGACTAAAACATATCTTGTTGCCATACAAATGGTAAAATTAAATAAACTATAATACAATAAAATCTAGTTGGAGCTAATAGGCAAATTATGGGAACTGAAATAAGCAACTAGTGCTAAACCACAGAAGGAAATAACCGGAGGTAGATTCAACATCAGTACTGCAGAAATTAAAAAATACTGAAATCTTTCTGAAAATTAATAATTTAAGAGCATCTTAGACTTAACAAGCAGCTGATAACACAGCTATATTGGAACAGTAACAACAAGCATTGAAAAGATTTAAGAGCATAACAAAGTCTTAACCTGGTACCAAAAGGGAAAAGATGTGGGTACCAGGAAGCATCTTTGAGAAGATCATTCCATAACTAGGGACTACTGGTAAGATGACTTAAATTTTCATTAAATCTAAACTTTCATTAGATATCCATACAATCACATACATTCAAAAACTGAAATGTATATGGCCTTTTTTTATAGCAATGAACTCATTCTTTGGTTACCTCAGGCTTAAATCATACTGGGAACCTGAGCTTGAGTAGATCTATTAAATCAATAATTGAATGGTAAGTCAACACTTATGTAAATCCCTTTGACTGAGTGGATCCACTTTAACTAGGAAACTAACAATATAATTCAGCAATCATTCTCAGTGTTGATACTTATAATGGCAAAATAGTGCCATCCCAATTTACCAAAGTTGATTGGGTTCCTCTTTAATTTCCACAGATATAGTGCTTCTACCTATACCTTTGAATTTTGCTTCCCATGGAACTTTAATGACAACAATAGTCTGAATTTTTGAGACTATGGATTGAGCCATATTTCATGGAGAAAATCAACACCTGTTTCAAATTTCAGTGTTGTCTGAAGAAGAGATGCTGAAGAAAGCATATGGACATATTAAAGAAAAGTATGAGGGGTAGTCATAATTTACTTTTACATTTATAACCTTTTCCCATTTTTGCAAGCATCGTTTGCTGATTCATAAAGCATAAAAATGTGCACACTAAGTTGAATCATATGTTTTCCAGTCTGGTTTGGTTCATGAATGGAGATCCATAAGTAGGTTTCTGGCCTCCCCATATACTTTTTTGACATGCTGGCCCTACCTCCAACATTCCTGAGTATACACATGTAGCCATAAAGATCTCCAGTGCTAATAACCGCATAGTCACATTCCTTAATAAAACCAGCTTCATGACTTCAGCTTATGCATATACATCATATTCAAATGTTATGGTCCCATCTGGATGTCTGGGGAGTTTGGAAGTAAGACCAACCATAGCAGCTGTGCAGACAAAGCAGGTGTGCTCGTCCATGTCTTCCACAAGGTGAAGTATTGTTCTTTGTTGAAAATTATGGGCCCATAAATATTGTTCTTATACTGAGTGCAGGACTTTAGCTATTTAGCAGCTGTTCTTATTGAGGGCAAAGAATTGTTTTAATAACATATAATAACTTTTGGCAAGGACTACAACCTCCCAATCACAGCCCATGTAAATAAATGTATTTTAAACCCAGAAAACTTCCATTTGAATTGCTCTGTTTGATATGGTGGCCTTACACATGTGTCTCTGGAGACCAATTTAAGGTTTACCTACTTCTTTGCTTACAAAATAAGATACATCTAAAGGGTTTGCAAATCTTATGAACCAGTTACTTTAGCAGTTAATAGCCCCTTGATGTCATCCCCTTCAGGTGCTGTTCAGGGGGGGAAAAATTCTCTTTACTTCTTGCTACAGTTGCAAGTACACATCTTTTTTTTTTTCCTCTGGCATCTCTGATAGTAACTTGCACAAAACAAGAGTGAGAATAAAATATTTTTAAAATTAGCATTCATTGAATTATATGCTTCCCTCCTTGCAAAAGGAAGTTTTGCCTAGGGGAGGGGGACCTTAACCCAAAATAATGTTGACCCTAGGGAAATTTTCAAGATATTCCCAAACTTTATGCTATATCATGAAAACAGTTTGATTATACAGAGAAATAGATGAAATAATCTTTAATATTGGAGCACTGGGATAAGGAGGAGGAGGAGGAGGAGGAGCAAAAAAGGACAAGGAGGTAAGACTATGCATGAAAGATTTGGGATTAAGGTAAGAGATAGAGCCAATGTGGTGTAATGGTTTGAGTGTTAGACTACTACTCTAGAGACCAGGATTCAAGTCCCAGCTCAGCTGTGAAACCCACTGGGCAACCTTGAGCAATTAACATGCTCTCAGCCTTAGGAGAAGACAATGGCTAAACTCCCCTGAACAAATCTTGACTAAAAACTCCATGATAGATTTGCCTTAGAGACACTAGAAGTCAAATGACTTGAAAACATACAACAACAAGAGATAGTGAAGGGGATTTGTAATCTTTGACCTAAACTCCACATTTAGATAAGGACCTCCTGTTTCCCCTTTTAATTCCTCAGTGCCCTGATTTATCATGGTCACCATTACATTTCTACTGGCACAGTTTGAAGTATTTTATGTCAAAGTTGTCTGCAAGTGATTCAATATGCCCAATTATCCCAATGTTACTTTCAAACTCTACCAAGCTACATTTGGAATATGAGTTGATCAAGTCAATGAAGCAATTTCACCATATCAGAAATGAGTCAGCCACTGTTTTGCCATTTGGTCCTTGTTAAGTGAGATAAATTTGTATTTTTCTAATTTGTGGAACTATTGTTTTGAACTGGCATGGTCCACAGCACCTTGCATGTCCTTCTCTTTTAAATTGTCTTTCTACTTCTGTTAGAGAAAAAATACACATTTCCAATGGCTTGTATCAATATAAATTAGATTAAACCAGCAATGTATTAAATTCTTTTACTCCTAGTCTTAAATTGAGTTTCAAGTCCTTGCAAGATATTTTCAAGTCAAATCTCAAGTTAAGTCTCAAGTCTGGGAGCTGACTGGGATCCAACTTTTAAGAAAAAAAAAAGGTGAGGGGTGGACTTTCAATAACTAGGAAATCAAGTAGATCTGAACAAAGTTATGTAATAAAAATTTCTCATAGGGGAGCAGCAAACATGTTATGCAATGTTCTTGAGGTGGAAGAATCCTTCTAAAGCTTTTCAAAGCTGTACAAGGCTCTTCCAATGTGCAATGGGGAAAGGCTGTTGAGTAGACCTCAGTCACTGCCTCAAACCAATTGCTTAATGTGTTTGCCATTTCTGGATGAAGTTCATTCAGCACTTTGGTTGCCAGAAATATACATGTCTCATATCAAGTTGAGTCAGTGCACTATTTATTGCCATGTCGAGTCCAAGTTAAGTTATTGAAGCAACTTGAGTCTGAGCCAGTAGACTCAAATCTATATCGCTGAATTATAGCCCTTCAGATGGCTGGGTTAGGATTAACTATTTCAATTTGAGGGTTGGAATGGATGACCCTTGTGGTCTCACCCAACTCTATGGTTCTATGAATAAAAAATATAAGCGGCACCATGTTTTAATGAGACATCCTTGGTAAATATGAATACTAGACTTTGATGCATGAGACAGGAAACCTTTCTGTTGCCAGTGTCTAAAAAAAAAAAATCATATTTGAAAAAATTAAATTCATAATGGAAAAGAAAGGCTGTGGCCTGAGCCCTTTGTCTATTTTGGGAAAACCAAGTCTCATTTTTTAACTGGAAAATTCCCTTATCTCCCCCTCCCTGTCACTCCACTGGCAAAGAAATGTCAGAGAAATGCTTGATGGGACATACAGTCAGACAAGAAATGTAAAAGATGTATGGGCCAATTTTCCTGTGAGAAGAGTTTGGGAAAACATGTTTGGGGCAGACAAACAACAGGTATCACACTAGACAACAACAATGGATCTGGAAAAGGAAAACACTAGTGTGTTTTTGGAAAGGGATACATCCTAACCAAAACACACTATGTAAGCATTGTTTGTCACATGGACAAGGACGTCAACAACATGGGTTGGGCTGGAGGTCTGGGAAAGTGGGACTCAGCAAATCATCTGCAATATACACACCCAAGTGGGTGGTAACTTGGGGATCAACAAAAAGCTTTGCCCATGTGTGCAGAGTGAGTGAGAGAGAGGAAGTTTAAAGGTTTTGGTCACAATCTGCTGTGTGCCATGTTGCTAGCTTTTGTTTTGTAAATAAACAACTGCTGTAAATATTTCTAATTGTAGAATAAAGATAGTTTTCTTAGACTACAACTGGTGTGTTTCCTGACTGCTAGAAAGGCTGGAGAGCTCAGATCCAGAGGAAAAGTCTGGAGGCGTGCAGGAAAGTATGTCAGCTTTTCCTGTCAACTCTGCTGTTTGGTAACTGTAACACACATCATCCACCATCCACTGACAGGAAATACTTGCATTGATGGAGAACAATCAATGTTTAACTGTCTTGTCCACCTCTAGTGAATGGAGACCTGCTGAAGTGGCTTGGCACGTATACCCCCATTGTGAAGTATCAATACTGATTGGCTTTGCCCAACTCCATTGTCTCCATTGCTCTGATCACCTAAAAGCCATTATCAGACCCTAACGCAGTGATGGTGAACCTTCTGGAGATGTTCATTATTAGGCAGAATAGCTGTAATTCAGATGAAGATGTGGAAATTTGGATGTGATGTGCTGTACAGCAATGCTCAGAAACCAGCTTCCTTCATCAGCCTTCTCCATGCAACAAGCATGCAGACACATCTTGTAGATCTAAAGTAGAGCTTTATTGTTCAATAAAGTAAACAAGAAAAGAAAACATACAATCCATCCTGCAGATGGCAAAAACACTATAGGATCACATCTTGCCAATGTAGTTGTAGAACTACAGCAATAGAAAAGGTTACATATCCATGTTTACAAATCCAGGAATTAAAGTTACAGTTACAGTGTTAAAGTGTAAGAGTTAGTGTTAGTTACACACAAACACATTGCTTGCATATATAAACAACAGAGAACAAAGGAAACTCTTGGCACTTCCCATACTTCTCCTTCTGGGTGTTAATCTTATGCTGATTGGATGATGCTTGGATGGTGTGCTTTAACCCAGCCTCTAGCTGTATGTCATTCCCCCATGTGACTTCCCCATGTTTATGTCTTACCTATCTATTCCCAGGCTTAAATGTGTTTATGTTATTCTGCCCTGTGAGCACATGTTTTGACTTCTAAACCACCGGCTTGTCGAGACCTTTTTGTTTTCAGTAGACACTGTTCCCATAGGAAATTTCCACACACACATCTCTACATTTCTGCTTTGACTGTAGAACCCATCCATACTCCAACAGAAGATACTCCCAAAATTATTATTTCTGTTTCAATCAATCCCAATCCTGATGAATGATAAGGTATTCAGACTTTGGGGAAAAGGACATATCAGACTACTTTCCAGCATATAAGATGACTGGGTGTATAAGGCGACCCTCAACTTTCCCAGTTAAAATATAGAGTTTGGGATATACTCACCGTATAAGATGACCCCTCTTCCAATGGGGGAAAATGAGAAAGTGTTGAGGAGAAGGACTGCCAATATACTTGGTGATACATTCTGGGGTATGTACAGTATGTGGACAAGTAAGTGACCCTGGGCATGTCACACACTCTCAGCCTCAGAAGATGGTAATGGCAACCCCCATTTGAAGAAACATGCCAAGAAAAACCCATGATAAGGTTGCCTTAGGGTCACCATAAGTCAGAAAGGACTTGAAGACACACAAGAACAACAAAAAAGTCTGCAGTTGTTTCATAGGTAGTACATGGGAATAGGAGCCAGCATGGTGTAGTGGTTTGAGTGTTGGACTATCACTCTGGAGTCCTGGGTTTGATTCTCTACTCTGCCATGAAACCCACCGGGTGAACTTGGACAAGTCACACACTCCCAGCCTCAGGGGAAGGCAATGGCAAACCTCCTCTGAACCAGTTTTGCCAAGAAAACTCCAGGATAGGGGTTCACCTCTTATCCTCTGCTGCCTCCTTCATCTCTTATCAGCCACTGCTTCCTCCTCCTACCTCATGCCACCCCATGCCACCCCTTCCTCCTCCCCCCTCATCCTCCTCCAACCTGGACTTCCTCTCTTCCTCCTCCTCCCACTTCATGTTGCGCCATCCCTTCCTCCTCCTCCTCCTCCTCCTCCTCCTCCTCCACCCAGTGTATAAGGTGACCCCCAACTTTGGAGAAGATTTTCCTGCATTAAAAAGTAGTCTTATATGCCAGAAAATAATATTTGGTCTGGGGGAAAACCTAGAGTCTGGTTTAAAGTACTGCAAGATACAAAAGAAAGAAGCAGTCTTGGACTTCTTAATTTAAGAATTTATTTTCACACTTGTTTTCTCTGGTTGCAAGATTGGATAAATTTAAAAAAGAACAGACACTTACAAATAGAAGGATTTGGAAAATTTTTGGATGGCATGCTTACTTGATTTATAATAAGGTGAATACCAACAAAGATTTTAACAATCACCTTATAAAATGGGCATTGCTAAAAACATCGATGAAATATAAATCAAGATTTTGCAAAAACAAAACAAAACAAAACAAAACAAAACAAAACACCACATGGATTTCACCTCAGGAGGCCTTTTTTGGCAGGGAAAGTTTAAGGAGAGAAATTGGGTAATTTATAGAGTTATTAATAAAAGAAAGAAAAGGGATCAGAATTTAAACTAGAGAGGAACTAATTGAGCAAGGGATTGAAATTAATTGGTATTTACATAGACACCTCCTGGAAAGAAGCAAAATGGATATAAAATCAGTGGGAATAGAATTGACAGAAACAGAGTTTGATAGAATCATGGATTTTGAAAGCACACATGTCATTAAAATGTATAAAATGTTAATTGGATTAAATATGGAAGAAGAGGTAATTAAGGATAACATGGTTAAATGGGTCCAAAATATCAGCCACTCAATTATGTTGGTGGACAGGGAAAGAGCTTGGTCCAAGAGTATTAAATTTACTTTGAACTATGAATTGAGAGAGAAATGGTATAAGATGTTCTACAGATGGCATATGATACCACTCTCAAAAATATATAAAGGTCATTCTAACAAACTCTGGAAGTGCGAGACAGAAGTGGAGACTTGGTATCATACTTGATACCAATTTGAACACAAGTAAGTAAGTTAATGTCAGGGATGTTAAATGTTAAGATACAATTAAAGCCTGAACTCTTTTTGTTGAGTCTGATAGGTGATCTGTAATTTGTAAGCCACCTGGATTGGTCTTCCAATAGGC